CTTGTGAGGGTCCCACTGTAGCAGAGCCAAAATGGCTCCTCCCTCTGCTTCCTGGGCATGTGACAGTCCATAAATACCTACATGTGACATGGCCTCAATCTGAGTGTCACCTGAAAAGAAACAGAAGGAAGTGTGTGGTACTCTAAGCAAAGTCTGGCTCGCCTCTCCCACCATGCCCCCCATCTGCATCTTTATGGGGTCATCCTGGAGCACCAGAACAGGAGGTATTCCAGGCTCCATTGCCCACTGTACTCACCATCAGACATACTCACCTCTTTCCAGCTCTGTGGTCATGCCAAACTATGTCATATCTGAGGCCTATTCTCAAAGAGCCAGTTCAGCCACCTTACTGAAGGAGGTTACCCAACTGCACCCCAAGCTGAGCACAGAGAAGCCCGGGGCTCTTCCCTGCAGCTGGAGGGCCTTGGTCTCAGGTGGGCAAGCAGGGACCCAGCCTTGCTGCCTAGGAAAGCTGTCTGGCCTGAATCTGCTCTGAACCTAGGGAAAATGAAGTCCTAGAAGTCAATGGAATGACTTAAAATGCCCTGGCCACAATGGATGTGAGTGCTCAGCTGGGAACAGGGATCTTGAGCATGCCTCAGGCCTTCCAGGGTTCTCCCCACCAGCATGTGTCCATGTCTCACTCTTAGTCCTGTTTCAGCCCAGGGTCTGCCTAAGACTGCGGTCCAGGTCTCAGGAAGCAGAAAGGGAGTTGGGTAAGGTGCAGGCCATGCTGAACCATGCTTCACGTGCCAGGCCTTCAAGGCAGTAGAAAGACAGGGACTGCCCAGAGCCACCAAGCCTCAGTCCCCTACGTTGGGGTCCTCAGGTAACCAACCAGCCAGATCTCAGAGCCTGAATTGCCTAGGGCCAGGCAGAAGTGGCTCTTCTGCAAGTTGGGTATGTGTTATGTCCCTGTGCCCACAGGTTGGGTTGGCAGGGAAGTTCAGGGTATGGGACAGGAGATCAGGCTTCTTAGGGGGTGTGAGGAAGCATCTGGGGCCATGTCTTTGGGGGCCTCTAGTCTGTAGCCTAAGGCTTCTCACAAAAAGATGAGAGGAAGTGACCACTGGTGTTGAGGGCCCGGGTACTGAGAATACACCTGCAGAAAGACTTGAGATGTCCAGCAAGAGGATACTTTTGCCTATTGGCTAGGTTTGGCCTCTCTAAACCCAGAGAGGGGCCCTAGGCTTACCTGACTAGGCTCTGGATCCAAACTAGGTCGAGTCAGGGCCTTCCTTGATGGAGACCACTGTGCTTCTTACTGGTGGACAATTTCAGAAGAATATGGCTTGCGAATAGCAGGGTCCAGGGTGGGATCTATGGCAAGAGGCCACCCCCTACTCAGGGCAGCACCTGCATCTCTGCTCCTAGGAACCCACAGTACAAGCTTCCTGTGGCACTGACTTCTGGTCAGCTAGGACCTAGGGCTGGATTTTGTAAACCAGACACTAGAATTAGCAGCAGCATCAGATGGCCCATGGAGATCCCTGAGGGTGCAGAGTGCCCCTCCACCCAGAGTCCCCTCCACCCATACCCCTAGTTGCTGCCTAGCTCTGATGAGTAACTGAAATTCTCCATCTTCTCACGCATGGGTCTTTTGAATAACCATCGGGTCCAGCAGGAAGTGTCTTCACAGATGGTGCTAACCCTGAGCCTGAATTATTCAGAGCATTGAATTATTAAATTTGTGTTTGAAGTTCCTGAACCAGTGCCTTGAACTGGATTAGTTATGTGACAGAGAACCTCCTATTCCTCTATAGACCCCCTGCTGTTAGATGAGAGCTGATGATGATTCCAAGAACCTTAAAAGTTCTTCTGGAGTCCTTTCTGGGCCCAGAGCAGGGAGGGTGCCATGGCTCTCAGGAGCTGCCAAGACAGGTGGATGGCCTCCCTAGGAGGTGTTTTGCTGCAGTTTCCAGAGAGGCCAGGGTGGGGATGGAGTAGGGCCACCCCTATGTACCCTGTCCTCTAGAATAGCACGCACTGAAAGAGGAACCTGAGTGGAGGGGTTTCCTGCCAATCCTGGGAGGTCCTCCCAGACCTCGCCCTCTGTGGTCTCTGGAATGTGAGCATTTGAAGCGGCTGCAGAGGGAAAACTGAGCCAGGAGCTCTGACTTTGGACTTAGTCAACCAGCCACTGGACTCCACAGCAACACTGGAAGGCCCATGGAGATCCCTGAGGCAGCAGAGTCCTCTCCACTCAGACTGCCCTCCTACCAACTGTCCCAGGTCACTCAGCCAGGGTTTGTCTGTGAAAAACTGCTCATGGTGTCCATGGCTGACCTCTTGGCAGAATCTCCTTCCTTTAGTTCTAGCCCCTCTACTATGTGGCTACTAACCTGGCCTCCTGGCCATTCCTTCCTTATCCTACCACTGTCCACCTCCTGTATGTCCTGATGGTCAAGGCTGTGTCCAACTCCTCTGGATCCCTGGAACTTTCACTTCCTAGATCTTCAACAGACCAGCCTTTCTTCCTAAGCTCCTAGAGCCTTCTGCACAGCTGGAGGTTTGTAGGCTTCAACAATATGTGTACTGCTTTCAGGCCAGTGGCCAGATAACTGATCAGCCAGGTGGAGGCCTCTTGCCATGTTGCTTCCCCCACAATCACAGGAACAGAGGTTTGTAGCAGCCAGCCTTAGCTATGGTCCCCACCTTGGTTGGGCTGACAGTTATGGGGCCCTTTGCCCCAGAGTGGCATTGTCCTGAAAGCTTTCTCAGGCCCCAGCAGCTACTCTCTTCAGGGTTCTGTCACTCAAACCTGGGACTGTCACTATCCTTGCCTATTTCCCTCAGCAGAGCTAGACTCTTGCCTGGACTTCCATCCCTAGCTTAGGGTCCTGACAAGTAAATAGCTGACAAACATTGATTGATGGTTACTTAGATGGGCTTAGAAGTTAGGACAGAGAAACTGGGCATGGCAGTGCACTGTAATCTCAGCACTTAGGAGGTGGTCGGTGGCAGGAATATAAGGTCATCCTTGTCTGTATATGGAGTTCAAGTTCTAGGCCAGCCTGCATGACATGCCCCGCCCCCCAAAAAAAGTTAAATTTAGGACAGAGAATCAAAGAGATAGACAAAGACATAAGACACAGCTGGGTATGGTGGCACATGCCTTTAAAGCCCAGCACTGGGGAGGCAGAGGCAGGAGGATCTCTGTGAGTTTGAGGCCAGCTTGGTCTACATAGTGAATTCCAAGCCAGCCAGGAATACGTAGTGAGATCCTGACCTCGGAACAAAACAAACCAAGCAAAAAACAGAGCCAGAGAGATTCAGAGATGACTGAGAGAGACAGAGAGAGGCAGGCAGACACAGAGACAGCTAGAGAAGCATAGATGAGGTAGAAGTGGAAGCTCAGCAGTCATCTGCTGCTGTCCTCCGGGCCTGTGCCTATGCGAACATCAGCTGGGCTCAGAGCTATGTATGAAGCTAGGGAATGGGTGCAGTTGATCTGCTGTGGCTTAGGAGGTCGACCTGGGGTCCTCTACTAGGTTGCTGCCAGAGAATCAAGTCCATCTAGAGGAGGGGTAGAGAGAAGGAAAGCCAATGAGAAGTGATGTCTCAATCTTAGCCCTTGTCTTTGCAAGCACACAGGAGGGGCCAGGCTGAGCACATCTAGGTACAGGTGACTATTCCACAAAGCTTCAGTCCTGGGTCTGAACAAGGGCAGGGAAATCAACGCACCTCAAGAAGAATGAGGTAGACAACGATACCTCCCATATTCCCGGGGTCACCCAGGGTGTGGTAGAAGGGGCATCTGAAGACTTCAGTCACCCACCCCCTTCCGGCGCTCCCCACCCCAGTCCCCTATTCAGTGTGAGGCATGCTGGGGCCAACTTCCTGAGTATGCTCCTCTCCCCTGGCATCAGCCCAGGTGCATTGCAGGCACTTCAGCAGTGGAAACAGATGGTGCTGAGGGCCTCCCAGGGTTTTGAGACATGGGCTCCTTAATTCCAAGGCTGCTTCTGACCACTGGGCTCCCTTTCTGAGGTGGGGATGTCTGGCACCTTCACCTCTACCTCTCCCCATCCAGTGAGCAGAGCTGGTATTCTGAACCAACTTCCTTTCTGGACTCTTCTACTGAGAATCTTGCCAGGTCAAGGAAGTGGGAACTGATAGAGGCAAGCCAGTGAGGGAATCCACCACTCCTAGTTCAAACCAAATACCGTTGGGGCAGCTTGGGGGTAAGATTACAGGAGGAGCACCAGACAGTGAGGAGAGGGAAGTTCCCAAGGATTCTGTGAAGGTCAAGATCCACCTAGCCCTGTAGAATGATTCAGCCAGGAGGGACAGTGATAATCAATGCAATGGCCACCAGCATTGGCCCCGTGGGCCAGGAACCACCCTTGGCCAGCTACAGCCAGAGCAGCTTTAGGCGTTCCCATAACGACCTGGCTCCTGCGGAGGAGTCGGTGGCCTCACAGAAGGCCCTCAGGATATGTTGCAGGGTTGCAGGGCCAACCTGGTGGCCACCGGCTTTCCCGCAGTGCAGCTGCAGTCGGGGAAATCCGGGCGCTGGGGAAGGGGCGGCCTAAGGGCGGGGCTGCGGAGGCTGAACCCGCGGAGCCCCCGCCCAGGCGTCTCTGCAGTGACCTTCAGACGTCCCTGCCCGGCCGGGGTCTCTGTCCTACCAAAGCCACTTTTGGCGCCTCCTCACGCCAGCGAGCTTGGGTCTGCGGGCCTCTCCCGCGCTCTCGGGGGTCTCTGGGTCTGCGCGCCTCCCCCCGCCCTTCCCCTTCGGAGAGCGCGGCGGAGGGCAGCCGGGTCGAGGCGCGCCGCGGTGGGTGGACTGGGGACGCCGACCCCAGCCGCAGGTCGCCCTCCGCCCGCAGGCGAGGACTGCTCGATGGGTCTCCAAACCCGCGTGGAGAGGGTGGCCGGGGCCAACCAGGGGCGGGAGTGGAGCCGCTCGCGAGCGCCGGGAGGGGATCTGGAGACCCGGGGGTGCGGCTGCCCCCCTCCTCCGCGCCCCGCCCTCCTCGTCATGCGGGACGCGGGCGGGGGCGCCTCCGAGTGACGCGCCCTCCTCGCGGTGCCCTTCAGCCGCCGCCGCAGCTCCGGGCGCCACATGGACCCCGCCGGCCCGAGAGCGCGCCGCTGCTGATCGTCGGCTCGGGAAGGTAACCCGCGCCCTTGCAGCCCGCCCGGCCCTGCGGGGCTCCCGGTTCTCCGCTTCCTAGTTCCGCGTCCCTCCTGAGTCCCGGGCTTCCTTCCCCGGCTCCCCGCTTCCTAACCCCGGGTCTCCCCTCGGCTCCTGGGCTCCCGGGTGTCGTTCCCAGCCCGGGGCGGTCTTCCTCATCTCTCCGCCCCGCGGGCGCTGTCCACCGCGAGGTGCTGAAGCGGCCCGGGTCCCCTCACCCGGCCGGGTCTCTGGTCGCCCTGGCGCGCTCCGCTGGAGGCCGCACTCGCACTCTGGCAGGGCGCCTCGCCCGCCGCAAAGCCGAGGGTGCTGCGGGAGAACCCGACGCCTCGGTCTTCGCAGAGCCCCCACGGCGCCCCAGCCTCTTTGCGACTGGCCCTCCGGTCCCCTCCCCCACCTCCCGGGAGACAAGGGAGAAGTTTGGAAGGGAATTAATTGGCTTTGCGGCAGAGGCACCCCTGAACCCTAAGCTTCTGGGACGCTTTCCCTGCCTCGCACCCCTCCCTAGTTCGCCTGGGGTCTCTAATCCGCAGGGGGAAACCTGTGAAGCTCTGGAGCTCCAGGGACGGGGTTCCTTGACAGGAGAGACCCCGCAAAGGCGAATGTCACTGCAGCTGTGACATTACAGGGAGCACCTTCCCATCAGCTGGCACCTCAGTCCAGGCTGGGTACTCTGCACCTGGGTTGCCCCACCCCATGCAGAGGCAAGTGGGGGCCATTTGCCTCCACTCTCAATGGGAGGCTGGGGCCCTGTCATCGCTCTCTCACAAACCGGGGTCAGTTTTGCTGTGGGCCTGGCGAGGAGCTTCAGAGACTCACTAGAGACACAGATGGCTGAGAGTAGTCAGCAACCATAAGGACCTTCCCTAAGGGGCACCGCTCATGGACCTGGCTTCTCAATCCCTCTCCAGAAGGGTTTCTGGCCCACAGTTCCAGGACTGCAAAGGAGGTTGAGCAGCCAGATCCTGGGTGCCAAAGCAGAGCAGTGACCTTCAAATGCCCCCTGGGCCCTGCCCCCGCTTGAGCAGTCTGGCACCAGACTCTGGTAACTGGTGGCTCCAAAGTTGTAAGCAGTCTCCCTCCCTGCAGTGGCAACTAAAAGCCTGCTTCAGAAACCCCAGGTACAGCAAGATCTTGATCTGGGTGAGGGATAAAGCTTCTCACACTGAACCCTCCCAGGTGCCCCTCAGGGTACTGGGGAGGGGAGCAGGGAGCAAAAGAGGGTCTCAGGAAGACCTGGTCAGGGCACCTGTGACCACTTGTTCTCCTCAGGCAGAGGACTCCAACCACACTTGAATGTGAGATCTGACCCCGGAGTGGCTCCTGAGGGACCAAGCCATCACCATGGAGTTCGTGATGAAACAGGCCCTGGGAGGTAGGTGGAGGGGTGGGCTGGGAGGGGGCCATGGGACCAGGCTGCTGGGGATAGACAGACATGGGATACCCAGAAACATGTCTCACCTGCTACAGTGGCAGACAAGCACTTGGCTTCATAGCCACCTCTGACCTCATACACAACCTGTGCAGACGCCTGCTCGCTCTCTGAACAAGTCCAAGGCAGTGCTCTAGCCCAATATCTTTGAATCCCCTGAGGATTCCAGTCCTCCGATGTACTGTGTAAGCTGGCCCTGTGCCCCATGCCGCAGTCCAGCAGAACCCACTGGCAAAGCAAGGGCTGGGCACCATTGGTCAAGGCAGATATCCCAGGGAAGTTTGGGGGGCAGCCCTCACTGTGACAATCCTGGGAGCACTGACCAGGATCAGGATGGAAGACCAGCTGTGGCATTGGGACCTATCGTTTCACTCAGATAGGGGACATTGCTGTCCATAAGGACAAGAAAAGACAGCAGAGGAAATAGAGCTTTTCTGTTGTTCGAGGAGTTTGCTTGCTGGTGTTTGAAGGGAATTCAGTCCCCATCTGGCCCATCTTTGTGACCAGTGACAGTGTTCAGGACTAGAAGCTGATAGAGGACAGTGGGCTGAGTTACTGGCCAGAAGGTGCTGAAGCAGTAGGCTCATAGCCATTAGCCTGAATTAGTCTCAGCAGGGCAGTTGAGTCAGCTCAGGCCTACAGGCTTTGGGTTTGCCCATGAGGTGGACCTCATGTCTATCCAGAGCTGCCTGCCCTGGGTGCCCTAGAACCACTATATAGCCTCAGTGTTCAGTTCCCTGTGAGCAGCTACAAAGCCACAAATTCTACTATTGGAGAGCTTTGCAAAGGAGCATCCTGACTGGTGTGGGTGCCAACTGGAGTATGTTAGATATGCTCTACTGCCATGGGGAGAGGATAGGAACCATTCACAGAGAGGAAGCTGAGTGGTGCCTAGGGCCAGAAAAGAATGGAGTCTGCAAAGCCAGGCACAAATGAGCATCTCCCAAAAGGTGTCTGTGCCTCCACTTAGAAGTGATAAAAGGCAAGCCCAGCATGCTCACTGAGAGTTCATGGCTCAGGTAGACTCAGGTTGAGTCTAATTATAATGATTACATCACCAGGACACGATTCAGGGACAAGCCAGCATCTTGCATCAGGAGGGACCCACGTTGTACCCAGAGAGTTCAAGGCTGCTACAGATAATTAATTAGGTGGTTAATTTGGGCCCTGAGGTGGGCTTTTAAAGAAACTGAAATATCTGATTTGGCTGTCTACATGGCTGAAATTAGCTGGGTAATTGCCAGCCTGGATTCCCTCTTTGTTCCATGTCAGCCCAAAGTTTCTCCTGCAGCGGAGACAGGGCGGGCTTCTTGGGGTGCTATGGAGCTGTAGGAGGGTAACCAGCAGACACAGAGCTGCAGGGTGGTAGCCACACACTAGGCCCTTGGCTGCATATCACCCAAACTACCCCACATTTGCTCTGCATTCATTCCATGGAGATGGAAATGTATCTTCCAAGATGCTGGGTGGGGCTGGTGTGCATGACTCCCCCACCCCCACTTTCAGTCTTGTTGTGGGCTCAAAGCCCCTCTTTCTGCCAGTGGGTGTCACCTTTGCTGTCTCAGGGTGTGTGTGAGCAAGAAAGAGTCAGACATTAATGGATGGAGAACAGAGACGAGTTCTAGATAAAGGTCAGAAGTAAGATACCCCCAAAGACAGATATCCACATGTAGAGAAACTAGGGAGCAGGGCAGTAAGAAGGGCCAGGGAGTCTCCAGAGAAATGGAAGAAGTAAGAAAAATGAAGAAAAAGACAAAGAGAAATATGCTTAAGATGGTCAAGGGATGGCTGGAATCAAGCAGCTCAGAGAGGAAGGGAGAGAAACATTCAGACACTGAGATAGAGACACAGTGATAGAGTTAGAGACAGAGGACAGAGAGAGAGAGAGAGAGAGAGAGAGAGAGAGAGAGAGAGAGAGAAAGAGAGCAAAACAGAGAGAAACAGAGAGAGAGAAACACACAAATAGAAGAAGCCAGGGAGGCTCCTTCCTTAAGTAAAGTCCTGGGGTTACCTACATAAGCATGGTACCTTTGTTTTACTCTGGGAGAGAGAGAGAGAGAGAGAGAGAGAGAGAGAGAGAGAGAAACACAGAGTAAATCAGAGATAAACTGAGAGATAGAAACAGACAAGTAGAAGTAGACAGAGAGAGAAGGAAAGGTATAAGAGTCAAAAACAAATAGAGACAGAGATAAAGACAGAGACACAGAAATAGAGACAGATAGAAGCAGAGGCATTTGGAGAGAGAGAGAGAAAGGGAAAGAAACAAACACATGGAGACAGAAGCAGAGATCCAGAGAGAGGCAACTCGAGCAGCACGGATGCTTATTCTCATACACATGAACACTCAGACTCAACAGAATGGATGCAGCTGGGCCTAGAGAAACCCTGGGCAAAGACCTGTTGATCTATGGATGAGCCTTGCTGTGATGTGCTTGATGAACTCCTAGCCACTCTCGTCCATCAGAGCTATGTCATCTGCCAAAGAAGGAATGACCAGGGACACACACCAGGGCCTTCTCATCTTCCCAGCCTCAGTACAAGACCAGCCCTAGTGGAGAGAGAAGCTGGAAACGATTCTGCCTGACAGGTAGCAGCTGCTGGACTCAGGCCTACAAACTTCCTAATTATGTGAACTTTTCACTGGCCCTTGTCTCCTTGGGGCTCCAGGTCCAGGAACTTGTGATCTGCTGCCTCACAGGGCTCTAGACCAGAGAGGGGTAGATCTGGGATCTGGCTGGATACAAATGTGGCGCATACCTTTGCCACTGCCTAGCTGCTCCTCCAGGCTTGTGCCTCTCAGGGCCAGCATCCCCCATCTTAGGGCCTCGTGCTATGCGTGCCTGCAGCCTCTGTCTCCTGTTAGCATGTCCCTGATGCCTCCTAAGAGGCAGATCTGGGCTATGCCCAGAAATGAGGCTCAGAGTTGACCAAGGCTCATGTGTGAATGCCATGGAACAATGAGGAATATCCCGGAATTCACAGGCTGCCAGTTCAGAGATAGCTCAGCTTGGATAGTTGTGAAGTTCCAGGTAGTTGCAAGTTTTTCCTGTGGATGCTGTATAGATGTCTGGACAACTGTGTCTGCAGTTGTTCAGTGACTCAGTTGGTCCCATTTGAGCCCTAGCTCTGCTGCTTGTCAAGGTCCCTCTACTCTAGTGTCATCTGTTGGATGCTGATAAGCCCCTCCCTCTGGGAACCATAGATAACTTGGGACCAGGACAGGATGCTTGGGACTTCTGCTGTATGAGGGAAGGAAGATGCCAGGTAGAGGTCCACTGCTCTCGCTGGGGCCAGGTGGACAAATGTCCAAGGAAGACTGTAGCTTGTGCAGAGCTGGGAAAGTTTGGTGAGTGTTAATGAGGAGGAGCCAGGCTGGCCATGGTGATCCAGGTTTCTTTGCCAACATCTGGAACAGCTCTCCTTCCCACCTTACCTGCAGGGTCCAGCCATGGTCCCCTAGCCTCTTCATGACCCCTGCACCACTGTTCCTGCCCAGGGTGACTCCAGGTGTTGGTCCCTGGGATGCTTGTACTCAGAGCTGCTGACTGCCTTCCCTGCCCCAGTATGGCTCTCTGAGAGTCTGAGGCAGGCCTTGTAAGGCAGGACTGCCACCTGCTGGCACTTGCCTTTGCTCAGTAACCACTGAAGTACCAGGAAGTACCATACCTATGTCTGGAGGCTGAGCTGCTGGGCAGGCCCTGCCACTCTGTGTCCCTAACTACCTCTTTCCTCAATGCCCCTTGCTCCCATGGCCTGGCCCCTGGCTCACAACCCATTCTACAGGCCCTCATGGAATGACAGCAGTGGCCTTGATCAGAGTCCTTGTCAGGACAAGATGTGCACAGCTAGCCCTTCCCTATTCTTTCCTCTCCCTGCAAACAGACTCTAAGCCCCTACTGCATGAGAAGCAACACACAGCTGCGGGTACCTGGGCCAGGCAGGGTCAAGAGAAGAGGAATGTTCTCTTAGGGCCAAGTCATGGAATATAGTGTCCCCTGGGACAAATCCATTCTTACCAAGAGAATAACAGGCCTTGGGCCACCCTAGAATCCATCAAGATATCCCATCCTCAAATGAGCCAGTGCCAGTGCTCAGCTGGCAGTGATCAGTGCCAGGACCTTAGGAAAGGCATGTGCAAAGGCCCAGGGGCCAGGAAGCACATGGATGGTGGCAGGAGGCTCTTGGGACAGTCTTATTACAGGTCCCAAGACCAAGCTAGTTCAGCAGGGCCACTCACCCAGCTCTTCTGCCTGGGCAGCTCCAGTGACCTGGTGCCTTGATCAGTGTATGCAGTCCTATGGTGAGCCTACCCTGGGCCTGGCACCCTGAGGCCCTAAGTGGGGCTGGCTCACCCACTCCTGTCCTTTCTGTTTTGCCTGGGTCTGAGTCTCAGCAGCTCTGTGCATTAGGTTCCCTAGACTATTGCTGGTCTAGCAATGGGACACAGCTTCTTGCTTCCTGCTGGGGGGATGGGGGTTGCCACCAAGCTGGGCTGCAGGTAATGTTCTGGAATGTATTTCATAATGAAATTACAGAGAGCCAGAGGGAAAGCAGTTGGAGTCAGAGAGACAAGCCATTATGAGGTGGCCCGGATACGCTACTGGGACCTGGGCCATCAGGTGCCACCTTTGTCTTTTTGAGCTTTCATGCTTAGCCTGCTCCTCAAAGTTTAGAAGTGGTTGCTGCTCTTCTGCTATCACTTTTCTACTCAGGAGGGTTAAGGAACAGCCCTTCATCTGGTGGCTGTGCCTGTGAAATCTCCTGAAAGGTTTCCACTATGGGCTAAAGCAGCTGGAAAGGTGAGGGCTGATGTGAACTCCAGACCAGGGCAGGCTTGAGTGGGCATCCCAGTGTCTGGTTAGTCGGTCTCGTCAGGCCTCCTGACTATGAGCCTTCCATAGGCAGGGTGTCTTCCTTTCATGACTCACCGTGTAGAGCAGGCA